AGTAATTTAATAATTCAGCATTAAATGCTCCACAGTCTTCCACACAAAAAAGGTGTTCATTAAATTCTGATTAAATTGTATATCGAAGTGTGATATCGAATGAAATTAATGGAGCTATGGCATGAATTTTTGATGGGGATATTTAATCGAGATGTTTGGTTAATGTGATGAACGTGTGCGTGTTAATTACTATGAGGGCAATGACCCTTGTGAGTTGAGTGAATTTGCAGTAATTAAATGTTCGGAATTGATATTTGATATGGAGTAGTTTAGGATAATTATTGTGACACTGGGTGTCATTGTGAGTTCATTGGATGGGTGGAGATGTGTATCTTTGATAGAATTGATAATTAAGGCATGCCATACAGAAAGAATGAATCTTATATAGCTATTGGTCTTATGCAAGTTCAAGCATAAATAGCTCAGTGGTATAAAATCCAAGTAAATTTTAGAGAGTGGGTTCAAATCCTCCTTTAGATTCATAGTAAAGAATACAACCTTTTCAGTAGGTTTAGCCACAAAATGAGTGGCTGTCAAGCTTTTATCATAAAAACAATATTGCAGTAAGTTAATAATGATGTCCTCAATAAAATCCAACTTCTGTCAAAACATACTCATTATATTTCAACACAAATTGACTTGATTTTACATTCGAACATTTATGTCTGATTTTAAACATCTCCCAAATTAATTTGTTTCGTAAAAAAAACCCACAGACTACATGAGTCTATCTTTATTAAAACCAGGGCTCGTGAGGAGTAAAAAAAATTTTGATTTTCTAAAATCAGTTATTTATGTGATTGAAAAAAATCATGATTTTTCAAATCTACGTAAATCTTTAAGGAGGATTTTATTACGTAGACAAAATCCCTGCGTAGTGATTTTGATTACGTAAAAACCGTTAGGATTTTAGTGACGTGAAATTGAAATTGTTTACTTTTTTTGGTGATTGTTTTTTATTGAAATTTAACAAATTTAAGCATTTAAGTACAGCGAATATGCTAATATGCAGCGGAGATTGACCTTTAAAGTCGTAAAGCAAAGATAAGTATGTGTTAATAAGAATATTACGGTTTATATCAAGTCAAAATTAATGTTAGAAAATAACGAAGAATTTAAGTGGCACAACATTATGTCTTCTACGGAATCAGACAATAGATTGGATCGTAAGTGACTCAAAAGAAATCGTAATTCACTGATTGATCGCTCTACAGAAGACTGGTTACTAGGAGTAGCAGCAACAGCCAAACAAGTATCTAACATAAGGCTGTCTAGGAATATTTAAATTTCAAGAACTTAAAAATATCAAAATTATTTACGGATGCAGAAACTCTTGGCTGAATGCAGCATTTCATTATTTTTTCTAATACAGTTAAATCTCGCACTGCAATGACGACAAAAATAATTTCCATTGCTTTGTGAATAAGTAAAATGGAATCAAAAAAGTTTTTCTGCGTCCATCACGAATTTTATTTAATTTAACAATAGTTCCAAAAAAATGTAAACAATTTCAAATTCACGTCACTAAAATCCTAACGGTTTTTAAGCACTAACATATATTACCACAAAATCCCAAATAAAAATTAATATCAGATTTATTTCTATTTTATTATCCAAATTTGGACGATCGTAACTTACCCAAATACCAATCAATATCTTGGTCAATGTATTGCATTCACATAAAATTTTATGTACTTTACAATATCATTTTCGACCTCGTGGTAGCATCATCATCATCAAGAGTCGAGGTAACATCCAACATCAGGCAGCTTTCCCCACAAGACCATCCCACGCAATCGAACGAGTTTCTTTTTAATTTAATGCGATTTGAAATATTTCTTCATGTCTCTTACTCTCACCTCAGCATATACATTCTTATTTTTTTTTTAAAAAAAATTAAGTTGAATTAATAAAACGCATTAAGAGCTTTGTCATCAGGTTGACAAATGTACACACTTTTGAAACATGCTTAAGCTGTTGATTTTTGTGTGGCATTTTATCACCTAAATATCAATGTCGTTGTTCGTCCTTGTTTCTCCATCCACTGTGCTGTGCAAAAAAAAAATATGAGTAACTAGTAACTTTTACCTTACTCTATTGTGTCGGTTCATGAGGCATTGTCTTAAAAATAGTAGTTGATCTCATTGATGTCATTAACTTAATATAACAAAAAGATATTTTTTCAATTTTTTAACACCTTATATCCACATAAAAAAGATTATTAAATATTATACAGTAGTTTGTGTCGCGTCTAGTGGCGCCAAAACACAGCAAACACGAAGACCGAAAGAAATGCCAACAAAAAAAAATTGTTTTCTATAAAACAAATATCATCGATTTCGCTCGAGTGGGTCGTTCATAAGTGATGTGAATAAAATATGAATATTTGGATGACATTGGTCTTAAGCGGGGACCTAATTGGTATTTAAAGATTTTTTTTTTCTTGATAAAAAAGGTAAATTTTAAAAAGGTAAAGGGAAGGATTAAGGAGAGTTGCTACCCCTTAAGAAGTTACTGTGATATTTGGTGAAAGCTTGCTATTGGCACTTGCTTTTCAGTACACGAAGACCTTGGGCTAGCTCAATTGATATAATATGGTGGGGATAATTAATTTTTGAATGAAAGAAATCGTTTAAATTCGTAGGGAAGGGGGGGGGAGGGGGGGGGGCGTTAAAGATGAAAATATTGAATCCAACCTACTTCCCGTACCTCCTGCTTTATATTGTCTTCCAAATACTGACTTTATACTTTCATTTATTAATTTTCATACAGCATAAGACCTTCTTGTCTACTTTAAAAATCAATCATCATTTACGTACAACTCCTCACATTAAAACTATTTATTTATTTCTCTCAATCTTGTGAATGGATTGGTTTGAGGTCTTTCCTAAAATAAAAATATCGCGTGGGCATCTCTCACATGCTACAAGCTATTAATTTATGATTTGACGAGTGAATGAGTGAATGGATTAAGGTGAATGTTGTTGAATTCGCAATGGGGATGGAAATTTAATGCAAATTTAATATTGTTTGGACTAATTTCGTACGAAGAATTATAAATGAATTTTCTGCGGAAAATTGAATAATAATTTTTTCTAAATTTAGTCAAGAATTCGTCCTTCTAAGAATCAGAAAATGGATTTTGAAGGTCAATTTAACATTAAAAATATGTACATTCAGTCACTAAATTATTTACTTCTATAGAAGATTGTCCCATCTGACTCCGTGAACATTCAAATTGACATCAATTAATTGTAAATTGCGGCAAAGTACACTGGTTGACAGCGGGGGGAATAAATGGATAGCAATAAACTGACAGCTTTTTAATTTATTTTGGCATTCATAGCTAATAGTCGAATATAAAATTACAATGAAATGTCCGCTGTTCTTGACAGTCATCAGTTTTGTAGATATCGTATTGTTGTCTTGATTGAGGGGCACCAATATTTTAGAATTAATTTGAGGGGATTATTGTTTGAAATCTATGGTTTTAAATAGATTTAGCTAAGTTTTTGTTGCAATTGTGTAGATATTTGATAGTCATTCACTTCATGCATCTAGTCGGCTTTCTAATGAAGCATACGAGCCACTATATTGACAATATTCTGACTTTAATCTTAACTTAAATGCTTTTTTACTACTTTTGACCAAGACAGCATTCAGAAAAATAATTAAAAGAGAGGAAAAAACCTAGTTCTGATACTTTTTCATCCCTGATAGCTCCAGACCAATTTATTGACGTTGAATTTCTTCTGATATAAATTCTGATACAAACTATGCTTAGAAGAACTTTGAAAAGATCTAGAGAAAGACTCAAGAATACCTGGATTTAATGTGTTGATAAGGATAGACTCTATCCTTTTTTTTTGTTAGAGTCCCTAATATCCCTAACTGACAGCAGGTCTCGAAGGATAAGTAGGGCTGTCTTTAGACGATCTCTGAAAGCGGCAATGGGCTCACGTGCACCCCAGACAAGAAAGTAAGTCAGTAAGCAAGAAGAACTTTGATGATTAGCCTTGAATACTCTATGAAGTATGGCGTTTGGTTATCAATGCGCATTGTTTCAAGAGCTGCCTAGACAGAACAACTAAGTCTGGTCGGTAATGAGTTGGTTTCCAAGGCTTATTAAGACACCTTAGGGTACTTAACACTAAATATCACTATCAGGTATATGATATAGAGTATTCCAAAGCTGTACTTTAAGAGGCCGTTCACTTACGACATCCGAAATCGACGGTCATTTTTTTAAAAAAGAACAATGGATTTCCAGAAATTTCTATTGTTCTTTTCTTGCTGTAAACGTCATAAGTGAACGGCTACTAAGACTATACCTTGAAATAAAAATCTAAACCCTCAGCTAGCTTAAGAATCCTAAAAAACTACAAAAACCAGAAATTTTTTTCATCTACCTCACACCAGAAGCAGTATCCATCCCATGAATAAAAACACAATTTATTTCATTTCTACACAAATAAGTAAGAAGAAATGCTTTACTTAGGTAAATCAAAATTGTTGCGTGCTACGTGATTTAATGAAAATTTTTCACTCCACATGTCTCTCAATGAAAACACCAATATTGCTGTAAATTTAAGTCAAATCATTTGCATATTTATGAATGGAAATGAAGTTTACTTAAATAGATGAAAAAAATGTGTTCATGTAGCCTAATCAGAAAGTCAACACGTATATGACAGGAATCAACAACAACAGCCAAGCTCAAAAGAATGTCTGAATGGAGGTATCGAGTGATATTTGTTAATAAATAAATGTAATTTTGTCGGAAATGACAGGCGAGCAAACATTCGTTCAGAATTATTGAATTACATGACATGATTTATTGCCAACTGAAAAAAATTTTTACATTTCCACGTCAGGATGATCGGAAATGAAAATTTGCAACTTTTGCAGCTTTTTGTAGACTTCCGTAATGCGCATGTCTTCCAATGCACTGGAATGATAGTAAGGAATTGGAAAGAATAGAAGTAAATTGATGTGAGGAACGGAAAAAAAAATTTTTCGTCATTAGAAGTGAAAAAATTTTGCTTGAGCTGCACAAAAATCGTTTGAGTTTAACTAAAACTAGGTTTTAAAAAGTTCTTTTCGGACTGTGTAGTGAAAAGGTGTGTAGTGAGTCGAAAGTGATGTGAAAAATTGAAAAAAATAAGGAAAAAGTTAATTTTTCATCTGCAAAATGTGTTTTTTTTTCTTCTTCTGATCCAATGGCCAGAAACTTGATGTGATGAAAATTTAGAGTGAAAATTATTGTCGCATCTTTGAAATGGCATAAAGTACCGCATTATTTGGATTATGCACCTGAACAGCCCTCGATTACATTTTCACTATGTTTTATTTTACATGTAGCAACAACAAATAGCACAAACTTAGTTTTTCATATCTCCCTCGGCTAACCTCTACCGTGAAAATGATAATTCCTTCCTTCTCTCTCTTTCATACAGCATATAATGAAAAATCAATAGATTAAAGTGCTTTTCGTCGCTATTTTCTTCTTTTTCCTCATCACCCAATTCCTATATCCCACCTTATATGTATGTATAATGTCACAAATGTCATGGCACACACAAAAAAAATAATAATAACAAAATATGGGAAAACACCAGCAAATCACATATTCAACCAGCAGCAATGGCAGTGAAAATCATTTGCATATTGTACTCCTCTTTTTTTCTCATTTGCATTATTATAGTGCCTTTTTTTTGTGTCTCTACTTGCCATTTCCCTCACTCATTCGCCCATTTTTCGTGTGGTGATTATGGATTATGTGTATACGTGGTTGTATCGCGTACTGGCGGATGAGAAAATAAGAAGAGCAGTATGAAATGAATCGAAAATGTGGTTTGAGGAAGGAGACGTACTCTTTTGTACTCTCTGTCTGTTCCGTATTTGTCGATGTCGAGTAAGAATTTTCAGAGATAAGGAACAGAACATTAAAATTGGGTTTTACTTTGACAATTTGGATATTGAGAGAAAAGATTTATTTTTTGGGGGGGCTGTTTAGAAATGATATTTTTTTTGTGAAGTAATTAGGTCAATTTGTTGGCATCAGGCACGTAACCAGGGTCAAGTCAACATAAATTTCTTCCTTTTACTAAGGTTTTTATGACCCCCCCCCCCCCTTCCACTTAATTTTCCATTTAAAAATTTTTGTCGCCTCCTCTTCAAATTCCTTGCTACGCCCCTGGTAGGCATAACCTGCTTGATTCAAGAATCAAAAGTTGGAGTACTACATTGATTATACAAAATAAACTGTAATTAGGTTTGTATCAATTGATAGCCTAGGATCCCGGTCGCTTGAGTTTCAAATAACTTCAGTTACCCATTATCACAGTATAAGCTTCACTAAAAGAGTATGAAATGGTCATGATCTCATAAAATCTCAAAATTTAAATGAACGACGTAAGATTTGTGTTTTCTAATGGAGCCTCCTTTAAAAACTACAATACCTTACCCCTCGACAGTCAGGGCTCTTAATCCGCATTGGCTTAGATCAAGTCTGCACCCCTGACCCCTTCTCCACTCCTGATTTAACCATCATTTCCAAAACAATCCCCAACAGTTCAGTTATCGCCATGGAATATCGGATTATGTAAATTATTCAAATTATAAATTACATGCTGGATATTTTTTAAACCATAAAAATTCAGTTCCCATTAAGTCAGGTAAATGGGAATTTACATAAATTTTCATTTGATTAAATAAACTGAACTTTTTTTTGTTTCTCCTTTTTGCGACATAAAAAGGAGGAAAGAAGTCGCACATATATATTTATTTATTTGCACAACATTTCCTCGTTACTTGAGACATTAATCGCTTTTGGTTTCCTTTCGACATAGATATTTACTTGCCTGCGTAAACATGCGCCATTAAACACTTTGTCTGTTAATGAATTTTTCGTTTGAAATGGTAATGATTGAATTTTCTTTAATGGGTCTTCAAAGTAAACGAAGCTTTCGCAGAGCTTTACTCTTAATAGATCATCCGAGTGGAATATTAAATGGGTTTTTTTTTCATGACAGGAAAATAAATTTCTTGTACTTTTTTGGAGCATCTCTCAGGAATAAATGATTTTTGGCCTAGGGTGTTATCCATAAATGACGTTTAACAAATGATCTGATTTTTCGAACCCCCCCCCCCCCCCCCCCACCTTCTATCCCTCTACCATTATGTATACAAATTCTTTTGTTATCTGTCAAACACTCAACTCCCTCCCCACCCCTTCTAAAAATATTAGACATCATTTAAGAACGATCCCAAATCTTCTATAAATTAGAAATCGTAAATGAAGTGTTTTTGGGACTTTTTCGAGAAAAAATTCAAACTTTGTTTTATAAAAAATCAATTTTAGCATCCGAAAAATTTCACTTGAAGGAAAAGGTCATGAAAAATAGCATTTTTGGAACCTTTTCGATGCCATTGGCTAAGTTTGACATTCAAATTTAAATAAAAGCGATCAAATTTAATGAATTTTCCACACGATTTCCTATATTTGTCAAAAAATGTTACCACTTTTAATTGAAATTGTTTAAATGATGAGTTGAAGATAGGAACAGAGTGTGACTGAAAAGGAAATTAATGTCTGTCAAAATGTTTTAAAAAGTTCAAGAGCCTTTTTGATTGAAAATTTTAGTTTATAGTTTGGTAAATGATGTGGGTTGGAGTGTTTGTTGCAATAATGTCTTTAATTCAGAAGTAATTCAGAGTAATCAATTGTTGAAGAGTTCCGTCAAGGGAGATTTTAAAAAATAAAGGACATGAATTTTTGAATTTTTTCATGAATTTTCTTAAGGTATCCAGCAAATATGATGAAATTTTCTATTTAAGATGATTCATGTCCTTAGTAAAGTTTGTAGAAGTAGGTTTCATAGAGTACACATAAGCCTATGTGTTACTCTTGGAGCTGGTTTAAAGACAAAGGTTAAGGTCTGGTTCAAGGTTTTGTTCCAAAGATACCAGCCACAGAAATCAGTCCAAAGAATCTTAGTTCCACAAGTACATCAGAAGCAATCTAAATCAGAATTGACTCAAAACAATGTCCAACTGTTGAGTGACTTGATATTTTTTGGAAAAATAGAGGATCTGAAAGTAATATAGAGGACATCCCACGTGTCTTCCAATTATATTCGTTTTCTGAACAAAACTATTTTATTTTTTAAGAATGAAAAAAATAGAGGACTTTCCTCTGGATAACCAATCAGATTGCCAGCCTCCTCAAACATAACCAAAAAATTTCAAAAAATTACCAAAACAATCCACATCGATACCAAAACAAAGTTATGTCTCAAAAGCCTCGACAATTCACCAAAAAAAGATCACATAAATGTCCATAATTTCTACAATATAAAACAATACCTTTTTCTACATTCCAAAGCTTGCAAAAAAAAGAACATCCACATTCCATTATGTAAAAACGTATATAATCCCCTGATACATAGACACATTTTTTGGGAAGGGTCTTATAATATTCAACAAGCATCCATAATTATTTTACGGATCACTTGAAAAGTTAACAAATTTAATTTTCAAAGATTTGAATTTAATCTGATGATTTTGAGTTCCTTAAATTGTTCCTTATATGCATATAAGAATGAAGCGTCAGGAAAAGTTTGAAGTTGAGCATCAGAATGGAAATAAAAGTCATTTCCATTGACGAAGAAATCAATATCTGAACAATGATTGTGTAACGTTCATAAAAAAATTGTATAAGAAGTATCCGCACAAGTGTCCTATATGAGATGAGCACAAAGTTCGATATTCAGGCCATGCATTGACGTCACGTGCGAGCATTATAAGTTAGAATGAAACATCATTTTGGACTAGACATATGAAAAGATTTTGTAGACAGATGGAAATTTTGGAATCACTGCATGCACGAATGAATTTGACCTTAGTTCGAGAGTGTGCTGCTTTGTGGACGAATATAAAAATTATTTATTATGAATAGAATATTAAACGATGCAGTCTTTACAGCAAACAATGCCTTTTTTTCTTCTCTCTCGTCAGTTCTTGCTTTTTTATAATTTATGCGTGACATAAAAAAGCCAAGGAAAAAGTTGAAATGCTCGTTGAAAATTGAAAAAAAAAATGAAACTTGAAAATAGGTTAGAGAGTGAAACACACTTTAGAGAATAAAATTTTTTATAAATGAGTGAATGGCTATGAGGAGCTGCTTGAAACAAAGGATTGTAAGAGAGAGGAAGAATAAAACTTTTTGCTTTCATTTGTCGCCACCGACGAATTTTTCGAAAGCTTCCTTTGTGGACTAGTTGGTATAAAAGTATGATAGTAATGTGCTCAGTTTGTCATTGATTTAGCATGGAAGCATAAGTAAGAAGCAGTAGCTTAGCTAGGGTTGTAGACAAGATAATCTGGACATACCTGTCAAAGCTACAGATCAAATATTCAGAAATATCGTAACCATCAAGTAACAAGTCAAAAGTGTTTGCTTGGTATATCTTAATATATTCACTATCTTAAGCATACAATGTAATCTATGAAGGTATAATGAGAGTATTCATAGAGGTATGGTTTAGGTATGCTCTATGATTGATAGACCCCTTGGTTGCTTACTAGTAAAAGTTTTTCTTCATATTAATGAAATTCCAGAATTACCATTGTAGTTGAATTTCAGTATCGATTCATTAATATGGGAATCTGTTAGTGCAAAAGTAAGGACTCTGTGGCGTAATGATTAGGGCACAGCTTAGAAAACTATAATCCTATCTAATGTAAAGACAAAAGTTCGATTCCCACCAAAAACCGACTCTTTGATTGCAATTTAAATCACTCAAACGATTCTTGACAGAATCTTAAATAATTCCTGCAACAACTCATAACTAGTAATGCGCTTTACATCCATTACTCAACAAAAGCACTCAAAACATTTTCCCTGAATGCATGGTGAAAAAATAAAATAGAAAAAAAAAGTTGAAAGAGCGAGAAAAGAATAATGGCAAGTCGAGGCGAGGCAAGCTATAGAATAGTGGAGATGTAGATAGTCGGAGGGTAATAAATTGCATTTTCCATGACATAGTGTCGGAACAGTACCCCTGAAACTTGAATACAATAGTATATAAAAATAGAAAATTTTCCTCCGCATTTCTACTGCTTGTTTTAATTTAATGGATTGCTGGATCTTATCATCATCATCGCCATTCCTTTATTGTCCATGCACTGTGTGTGTTTGTTTCTCATTGTCCTATATATGCTGTGTTGCAGTTTTTTTTTAAAAAAAAGTTGTCCATAGAGTTGGGGGTCTGGAAACAAGCTGAATCATGTTCTACATTCGATTTTTATCAGCTTTGAAAATTTGTTTGAATTTTCCTAATTCTCGTAAGGATAAAAGCTTTATCTTCATCCATCACTAACTCCATCAATTTTCCTTTAATCATCCCTACAATTGTCGATTGTTTCATCATCCATTTTTCCTCATTCCGTTCATGTCTGTAAATAATAACAGGAAGCCTTAACAACAGTGCATCTGCGCTCTGTTGTAAGATACACAATTTTACATCCTCTTCTTTTCATTTTTAAGAAGAAAAAAAGCTCTTCAATAAAAAAATCATTTTCTAAGTAAATCTTTATCAGTACTTTGACTGTGAGCAACAAACACTTGGCAGAACAAAATTAATAGAGAGGACGACATAAAAAAAAAGTTGAAATCTGTGTGGGTACTTGAGTGAACTCGAGTGAAATTTGTGATGATTTGGGAGCTTTTTTCAAAATTGTTTGCAAAAGTATGTGATGATAAATTTATAAAACCTACAATATGAAATGGAATGAAGCATGTTGAGGACTTTCGTTTGATTTATAAGTGTAGGAAGGAATTTGTTTGAATAATTCATTTGAGTTTATGAACTTAAAGCTATATTTAATTTAAAATAATTCTAGCTAATGGGAATCGAACCTTGATTTCGATTAGGGGTCGTTCACTTATGACGTCCGATATTAACGGTCATTTTTCAAAAAAGAACAATTGAATGCAAGAAATTTCTATTGTTCTTTTGTTGTTGACCCCCCCCTGTTCTTGAACGTCATAAATGAACGGCCCCTAAAAAAATGCTAATATTAAAAATTGCGATTAAGATTGGAATATGATCCATACTAAAAAGAAGTTCTGACCGAGATTGAAGTAGGTTCTGATCCATATTAGATAATTTAGTTTAATAAAAAGTATTTAAGACTTCATCCATGAAAAGTTCAAATCCATTTAAATCTGTAACCTCCAAACCACGCCATATTTAAAGCAGAACAAAAGCTCATTGTTAGAATCTTTCCATTCTTCTCCGCATCAAAGCTCAACACAAAAAAAGTTGATGAAATGATTAAAAGCAGTTACACAATGTCATAATAAAAACCAACATTCCAACGAGCGCCTTTGATGTCAAGAGAGGAACTGAAAATTAAATTGAATGCAAAAATGTTTTTTAATCATTTTAAAATTATCAAAGGTAAACCTTCCATCTTGTTCTTATAACATAAAAGGCAACTTATTATTTTTCTCTTGTGATGCTTCTCAGCTCAGATAATTCTTTTTTTTAAGGTAGGTAAGGGATGAAAGATTAATTATTGAAGAATGTAAAGATTAAAAGAGCTTAAAATGAGATTTCTTCCATGTCGGTAACCAATGGAGCTTTTTTTGCCTTAGATTATTTTAAAAATTGAAAGAACGAAATGAAATGGGTTTGGTTCCAATAAATCTTCTCGTCTCTTATTACATGGATTAATTATGTCAGGTAGTCTATTATTTCAAATTCTTCTATATCTAATGAAGAATTCTCTTGTGTGCAGCACTTTCTGTGGATATTTTTGAAACTTTTTGTGGTAGGAAAGAGCAAGGGTCGTTCATAAGTGATGTCTGTTTTGTATATTCGAGTTTATAGACCCCTCAATTTTACTACATATTTGAGAGAAAATATTCTTCAAATGGTTGTTCAGCTCTACCTTCCACATCTCGTCATTCACGTCATTTATGAACGACCCCACATCCCAACTTCACCGCTTCATGAAAACATTATCCATGGAACTCCAATTCATATATTAATTACGAAACTTTTGTCCGATTTTTGTTTACTTCATGCATTTTGGGTAAACAACTTTTCTAAGACTTCCCCAAAGATTTTCATTAAGCAGCTTTTCTTTCGCCCTAAATTACCATTCTGGAAAAAAAATATATTCTACATAAGAGAATTCTCAGAAGAGAAGCATGAAGCTATGTTATGACTATAAAAAACAAAATTGACTTTAAGGATGAGAATTTTTTATTTTGTAAAATTTCATCTCGTTCGCATATGTTGAGGCATAAAACATGAAAAGAATTTTAAAACTGGATGATTTAGACATGGAATATCAATCAATTACTTCTGTTCTGCTTTTATTCTTGTCACTCATCTTAATGAAAAAAAAAATCCAGCGAATGATTTGCTTCATTTTCCTAATGTAGCACAGTTCTGAGACATTTTTTTGTATCTGCACAGATGCTCATATAAAATTCTTGAGAAATGAAGATGTAAAATTCTCTAAGGGGCTATAATGTTGCTGACTAGGTTCACTTGTTGTACACTTTTCATTTTTTTGTTTTTGTTTCAATAGCATTTGCTGAATATTTCAGTTCTGTATGAAATAATGATGTCCCATAACTCTGAGAAGCACTTGGGTGTTGCTGTCAACGCCTTGATTATTTATTATAATTTTCTATCAGGTGTGAAACTGTTAGCATGTGCACACTTTATCATATGGCACTTGGGGATGAAGTTGAGGCATTAGACTATTCAATTAGAATTTTCTGGTAGCTTTTAGACGTAATTAGTATTTCAGAGTTTCTTGATCCTTGATATCGATGGATGTGGTGGAGAAATTTGTCTAAGATTGATGTTTATGGGACATGCTGACTTGTGTTTAGCGTAATGATATCTTTCAAGAAGCTTTTACTATCCAAAGCAATAATATTGGAGGTTATGAGCTGGAAGCACAGAGAAATTTGGGGACTCGCAATGTTGTAATGTTTGTAGAAACTAGGAACTTTGTCTAAATACTTTAGAATGGTTCTAGCATTGCTTAGGCTCCCAGCATAGAACACAAAAATTCAATATCCTTTAGAATCTGCCATTCCTGCTATATGATAGTGCCAGGTGCCTTAAGAAGCCCTTAAATACCAGCCACAGACTTCGCCCCTATCATATGGAATGTTTTGTATGGTTTAGTCATGCCACAAAACTATAAGAATCATCCAAAACTCAAAATCAACTCGAATTGGATATGGAAACATAGATGGGCTGTAGACTCAACTTTGTAGCTGTAGCAACAGAACAACAGCTCTACATCTCATTATTTAACCATTATATCAAATCCAGTAAGAATCTCATAATTAAAAATACTAGTTTAACAACAATGAGTAGCTTAACAAGTTCCCCAACTCAATATTCAAAGCAATAAACAAAGAAATAAGATATCACTGCCTACAGCAAAGCACAAAGGATGTAAAAAAATACCGTAAACTGTTGCTGATGTTTTCTATTTTCTAACCCAAATATAAATTGCACAATAACAAGTATCAACCTTATTTCATAGAATATGAATCCTATACATTTAAAAAAAATTTTTTTTACAACATCCTGAACAGCTTCCTACCTTTAAATTACCTATGTGACAATGAAGGTAGCTTTAAGAGCTTTATTTGAAAATTTTCCAATTTAGATCCCACATACATGCTCTCTCTCTATTGTTGTGTGTAGATGATAACTGCGAATATAATGCGATACCCTCAGGCAAAATAAAGCCTGGAAAGTTGTTTTGGATCAATAGAAGGAATTGAATGCTCATCCCAAAATCCCTTAAGCTTCTTTATGCCAAACGATAAAATAGACACATAATTATGTCATAAACTTAATTTTCATGTTTCTAACCATCAATTAACGGATGTGCTTCCATCCGTCCATAACTTGTTAATCCATATAAACAATAATAATTAATCCGTTGTTATTATCCTTAATTTGTAAGAACGGAATGGGGTAAAAATATTACATAAATTATCAAATTATCTTGAAAATCCTTTTTTTCCATTTCTATTGTTTCCCTTGTTCCGTTTTCTAATGGATTCTTGTTGCTCACCAAAATTACAATTCCGACTGCTCAGTAAAGGAAAGGAAAATCGAGTACGGCAACATAGTTTTAAAGCGGCATTAATTAGATAACAACCTAATTTCATTAAGTGCCTCTAATTGGTATAAAAAGAGAATTTTAATTCGATTCCGTTCTCTTTATGTTTAGTTCTCTGTCTGTTGGTGTCATTGGATCATGGATAAGAAGTAAAACGTGATTTGTGAATAATAAAAGAGTTAACAAGCATAGCTGAAATGTAAATAATATTCATAGTGAATTTCTCAATTTCATTTTTTCTTCTAGTGGCGTGTCTGAGTAGTGTTAAGAAGTAAGAAGGAGAGGATTAAGCACGGAGGAAGAACACATAGACTGTGAAATTATTTAACAAGTTGCAGCGTAGTGATATTATACGCCTAATATACAAATTTAAAATCATATTTAGTAACAAGTATCAGAGAAGTAGGAATCATGGCACAGCCCGTCTGCACGCGCTTCTCCGACAATTATGATTTGAAGGAGGAGCTGGGAAAGTGAGTTGAATGGATATTTTTTATAGTCTGATGCAGTGGTTCTCAAACTACGGTACGCGATACACTATTTTGTTACTTATTCCTTAAGTTGTGTCGCTTTCTAAAGTGTAACTTAACGGTGTCGCGGTCCAAAAACATTGAGAACCACTGATCTGATGCGACAAAATTGTGTAATGACCGTAATGACAAATTTTCTTCTTTTTGTCGCATAACAGAGGAGCATTTTCCATAGTTAAGCGATGCGTTCAGAAGTCAACTGGCCTCGAATTTGCAGCAAAAATTATCAATACTAAAAAGTTAACAGCCCGAGACTTTCAGAAATTGGAGCGAGAAGCTCGTGTTTGTAGAAAATTACAGCATCCAAATATTGTTCGATTGCATGATAGTATACAGGAGGAGAATTTCCATTATTTAATTTTTGACCTGTAAGTTGTGCCTTAATTTACTCTTTCATCGCTATTGACTATAAGATTTCCTTATAAATTAGTGTAACTGGCGGTGAATTATTCGAAGATATTGTGGCACGTGAATTTTATTCGGAAGCTGATGCATCACATTGCATTCAACAGATTCTCGAGTCAGTGCATCATTGTCATGTAAATGGAATCGTACATCGTGACTTGAAGCCAGAAAATTTATTATTAGCTAGTAAAATGAAAGGAGCTGCTGTCAAATTGGCAGGTAATTAAACCCTTTGTTTTCTTTAATTTGAACCAGCTGCCTACATCTCATGATCCTGATAGATTTTGGACTAGCAATTGAAGTGCAAGGTGAGCAACAAGCATGGTTCGGTTTTGCTGGTACGCCTGGATATCTTTCACCAGAGGTCTTAAAGAAGGAACCATACGGAAAACCTGTTGACATTTGGGCATGCGGTGTCATACTTTACATCCTACTCGTCGGTTATCCTCCATTCTGGGATGAAGATCAACATAAATTATACGCACAAATTAAGGCCGGGACGTATGACGTAAGTTGATGATTAATTGGCATTATATTGCTGGTTCCGATTTAACTTTTTTGCCATTTACAAACTTGTTAACAGTATCCATAGCCCGAGTGGGACACAGTCACATCTGAGGCTAAGAATTTAATCAATCAAATGTTGACTGTGAACCCTCATAAACGTATCACTGCAACCGAAGCATTAAAACACCCATGGATCTCAGTAAGTCTTAAATTCTCTAAATCCTTTAATGCACAACAATTTAAAATGACTTTCTTTATCCTCATAATAGCAACGTGAACGTGTAGCATCAGCTATTCATAGACAAGAAACTGTTGACTGCTTGAAGAAATTCAACGCACGACGAAAATTGAAAGGTGCAATCTTAACGACGATGTTAGCCACAAGGAACTTTTCTAGTAAGCCTTAATATTTCAGACTAGGTTTTTTGGTTGAATCCTATTGTGATTTAATTTCGTCCCATAAGTGTATAGACCCTATTTTCATAAAACTTTTGTTATCAAATAAACATTTCGGACAGGTAAAAGTGTCATAGCTAAAGCTAAAGCTGATGGATCGGATGAGAAGATCAAGGAATCGTCCGATTCATCCAACAATAATGACGAGATTGATGATGGAGTTCGATTGAGAAGACAAGAGGTTATCAAAGTGACAGAACAATTGATTGAAACTATCAATCGTGGAGATTTCATTGGATATACGTAAGCATTTTTATTCCAGTCTTATAGGAATTTTCATTAATTTTTGTTCTTCTGTCTGGATTGCCTGAAACTGTAGAAAAATTTGTGATCCACATTTGACTGCATTTGAGCCCGAATCGATGGGAAATCTCGTTGAAGGAATGGATTTCCATAAATTTTATTTCGAAAATGGTAAATATCTTCCTACATATTTCCGATTCTAGATCCTTTTTTTTTTCAATCCGTCTGTCCCTTACATTCAATATACAGTTATTGACTAGAACATCCAATAGTAAAGCTTCTTATTCCTTTTTTGCTTCTTTTTCTTTTATTACAAAATAGTGTTGGGTAAAAATTATCGAGCGATCAACACAACAATCCTTAATCCTCATGTTCATTTGCTTGGCGAAGATACAGCATGCATCGCATACGTTCGATTGACTCAATATGTCGATAAGTAAGTCACTTTAATCATTATTATTTCTTTTGGGATATCGTTTGGATATCGTAGGATACAGCACTGAATCTAGAATTAAATAATAATACTAAATGACCTTAGGGGTCGTTCTCTTATGACGTCCATTAAAAAACCTGATTTTTAGACCCCCCTCCCCCCCCCCCCTCTGTCACAAAAATTCTAAAGAAAAAATTTCGATTGTTTGAACTGTCACAAAATCCTAGACCCCCCTCCCTTCCTAAATGTCGGACGTCATAAGTGAATGGCCCCTTAGTGGCTGGTTGCTCAGTTAGCTTTATGGTATGATCAAATTGCCAACGCTTGGATCAACCTTTTTAAAGTCAAGTGCAAGGTAGATTAGGACCTGTAATGGAATATACTTCGCTAGACTTCTGATAATATTTTAGCACAAACCCTATATATATATATGGCAACCTATAGTATGCTGAGCAACTAGTCACGCAAAAAACTATTTCATTTACTAAAATATATTAAATCCCTTCCAAAAAAAATAATATAGACAAGGAATTGCTCACTCGCATCAATCAGAAGAGACTCGCATTTGGAACAAACGTGATGGCAAATGGCAAAACGTTCATCTTCATCGTAGCTTCCCCGTGAATCAAACAAACGAAACACAATTTGATCCAAGTAAATAAACATGTAAGGATATAAACTCTATTTGCTAAGATGAAACTATCTACTAAAGAATTTGCCACAAAAACTCATCAAAAAAAAGCTTTTTAAAAAGATGAAAAATTAACAAAAAGATAAAAAATATTTTTAAAGAGACAAATTGATACTGATGATAAGGAACGATGAAGCATGTTTATTCCAATTTAAATGAATTTTTAAAGAAAATATTTGTTTTTTTATTCATATCTCTTTATTGAAAGGAAGTAAAGAAAGATTTATGATTGATACCGAGGACATATAAAGTATCTGAATGAAAACGTTTGTTCGTTGTTTGATGAATATATAATAGTGATGAATGGAATGGAAATTGTTAAGTGGAACCGAGTGAAATGCTGTTATTGAAATGGTAAAAAGCTATAGAATATTGAAGTGGTTGCACAATTTCTGTAATAATGGAAATTATTATTCAGTTCTTTTCGAGAGCTTTCTGCTCATTTTTCCATATTCACATGGCTTGACGTGCTGGATTTGACATTTCATCATGTTATGAATAAAGGGTTGATATTTTAAGTACATCGTTTTGATATTGTTGTGAATTTAAAAGCTTTGCAAGTGGTTTGATCAATTATGTGAAGAGTATGTGAAGATCTCTTTAAAATGAGCAAAAGAACTAACTGGCTTTTATGGAAGCTAGCCTGAACTTTTTGTTTTGTTGCTTTAAAACTGAATTTTTATTGAGACAGCCGTTATCTTTGTCAGTTTTTGAAAATTAGGATCGTTAAACTAGTAAAAACATATGCAAAGGAGCTAACTTAGCTTAGTTTTACTCCCTTTAGAATTCAATTCGGCAAAGCTTTATCCCCCTCAACATTAAATATGGGGTAGTTCAGCACCCCTTAAAGTTCAGTTTCGTAGTTTCACACCCTTTAACGTCAAATATGGGGGAACTTTGCATGCCTCAAAGTTCAGTTTGACTTGGTTCTGGATTTTTTAACATCAAAAATAACGCAATTTCACACCCCTTAAAAATTCAAGAGAGCGTAGTTTTACGTCCTTTAGGATTCAAAAAGACAGGAACACATTTTAAGACAGAGCAAGCAATTTAAAAATCATCAAAAATGGAGATAATTTTAAACAAAAAGCCAGCAAGACTACATCCCGAAAGTATAACAATTTTAGACTTAATCTTGATAATCACAAACAACGACTTTAAAGCTTGACACACCAGGATCTTATAAAAAATCTCGAGCGTGTGTCTAAAAAGTTAATTGTTGTGTTAAACTTTAAAGTTTGACATCAATCTCTAAAGAATAAACCCGAATGCAATGCAAAAGCAAACAAAAAAGTCATATCCATTTTCATCAACCCTCTATCTACATTCAAAAAATCAAAAGCATTTAAAAATTTAGAATTCCATCCCACAATGCGTGACAAAAGGACGCAACCAAATGAACGATTATCAAAAGAAAGCACAAGAAAATCAAAATAATCGATGGAAGAATCTTTGCCAAAAACAGTGTGAATATAGCAACAAAAGCCTTTCACCTCATCCGTAATTTCCTCATTAATAATGAAAAGAAGAATAATATCGAGCAATTTCATTCAATATCTACCTTTATTATCTCGATTTCTATTATTCTTGAAATTTGTACTCGAGTAAGCGGAAAATTTGTTAACGAGAGGGAAAAAAAAAGCTTGAGAATGAGTAAGAGCCACTTCGAGCAGTTTCCATTTCATCATTACATAATGATTGATGATTCTATATTTATATTTATAAATTCATAGTTTATAAGAGAATAAAGTAAACATTCAACTTTGTGAAAAATATATAAGAAAAAAAATTATAATAAAAAAAGAAAGGAATAAATTATTTAAAAGAGATTTCAGGTACTGCCATATTTAATGAAGATTTAAATTTTTATGTGAATTTAAAAGAGAATGAAAAATTTTTGAAATTAAAATTATTTATCAGAGGATGGATTTTTGGTGGTGTAATTATATCAGATATCGGAACTTATCCTTCAAGTTGATTTTCTTGTTGAGTGTGTACTTAAGTCAACCTTCATCTTCCAGATAAATTGAAGGAAGGATTTAAAGATGCCAATTAAGATAATCGTTTGTTAAAAGGGATTTTGTACAGCTATACAGTTTCTGTAGAGCTGTTGATGACTCTCAACATGATTTTAATAATCGAGTTATTATTGACTAGAGTTTTCTATTTTACACAACCTTGCTGAGAGAAGGATAATAAAACTAGAGATTCGCTACCTTGCTTGGGGAGAATCTACTCTAAATAGAATCTTGAATAACTGACGATGTTATAGGAGCTAAGGTTACATAGGGCCTAACCATTAAATAAACCAATGAACAGACCAACAAAACCAAGTGATACTCTATAATAATCATTAATTACTCGTGACTGAAAGGATTCGTGGATATTTTCTAATGAGAGTTCAAACCTATTCTTTACTGATTACTAGAGTTATCAGATAGGTACTTTTGTAAAGGTTTCTCATCGTAGCTTTTGCGTTTGTCTAGGTATCACCTGTCTTATAATTTCTATCTAATCTAATCTAGATTCTACTCCCAATCGAAATATTGTACGAATCCTTGTCAAATCGCCAACACTCTTTGTAATCGTAACGACCTCTGAGGTGTCTCTGGTGGGATTCAAACCCACGATCTTACTCTAAAGATATCCAGTCTGTTGCTTAACCACTCAGCCACAGAAGCCTTACATTCGCACTAGCTGATTCGCCTACTTATGGTTGAAACCTCAGCTTACATTCTCCTTCAGCACTACACTTATACAGAAAATATGACTAAAACAGATCTAGATTGTTTTGTTTGCTTAATAAAACAGTTTGAAGTTGTAAACTTGATATAGTCTCACCAACACTGAATCTTTTCCTTAAAAATGAAATGAATATGAAATCTTTTCACAGGAAACAAAATAAAAAAAAATGTTGAATTTTAAGATTTAAGCTTGAGAAACCAAACAAAACATAAAAAAAATTAGCTAGGAAGCTTTTCTTAATTCAAAAATTTGTAATTAATTATAAAATATATGAAATAAGAAAAAAAATGAATAAGAGAATGTTTATAAATAAATAAAAAATTGTTCTATAATAACAAATTTTAAAAGTGAAAAAGAATCCAAAACTATAGATAACAAAGATGATGCAAGTTTCAAAGTCAAATTTCAATCATTAAAAAAGTGAATTTCAAGTTTTTTTTCTTACTTTACTTAAAAAAAACTTTTTTCATTACCTTAACAAAAAAAAAACACTTGAAATTATTTCTTCAAGGAAAAAAGAAAACTGACGAAAATGAAGAGAAAAAATTTGTGCAATAGCGTAAGTCAAAGAAAAAAGATGTGAAAAATAAAGAAAAAAAATAAAAAGAGATTTTTCGATAAACTTTTTTGAGAAGGAAATTTAAAAACTTTTCTCTCTTTTATGAAAAATTTATTCATAAAGTATATAGAATTTCAAATTCAATTGAGATTTATTGTCATTTCTGATTATGGTTACGGGAATTAAGTTGAAAACAATTTTCAACATCATTTAAACCAGACTTGCGTCATTTCGTATGTTGGCAGTTATGAAAAATTTTGATGTGTTTAAAATGTGATCAGTAAGTTGTTAATCATTGTTTCAAGCAGTTTCAAGTAAGAAAATTCCTAAATTAAGAAAATTCAGTTGAAATTGAAAAATGTCAACAAAATAATGTAAGTGTATTAGTGTAAAAATTTCTTGAAAATATTTCTGCAAAAAACTCTTTTGTTTCCTGATATTCATGATTTTAAAGCTTATCAATGTTCATAAAAAAAACAAGCTTTGATTCTAAGCGATTTGACAGTAGTTATCATAGCTAAAATGCTAAAAATTCAACATAGAATTTTTTAAAGTTTTACCGGTTGAATTGAGTTTAAATTTTCGTAATAAATTTCGAATTTTTTGAAGCCAATTTCGAATTTCTTCGAAATGAAATGACGCAAGTCTGATTTAAACTTGCTTTCCTCGACAATCTTGTTTATGTTCTTTAAAGTATTAGCACTTTGTTTGTTAAATTATTAAGAATTTAATGAATAAGCTTAAATTTGTTGAATTTTAAAATATTTACGTAAATATTAAATTTAAATCTTTTGCATCTTATTGTAATTTTTTGCGTCTTTCTGTAGCTTTTTGCGTCGACTTTATCAATTTTTGAATCTTATTTGAATTTTTTTGCATCATATAAGCATTTTCGGAATTTTTGCATCCTTTCTGCATCAATTTTTGCAATTTTCCAAACTTAATCGTCTTTTTTGAATTTTTGCATCAAATTTTTGCATTCAACTGAAAATTTTCAAATGTTCAAATATTTTTCGCATCATTTTTCAAAATAATTTAAATTTTAAAAATACGTTATTTTTCAAAATTATTTCATTTCGAATAGAATTTTCTCCTAAACTCAAAATATCTGCTTAAAAACTTTAAAAGGTCGAAACTAATCTTATTCATGCTAAAGATGACCAATAATAGAATTCAGAAATCATCAACAGAGCCATTAAATTTAACTTTAAGAGAGAATTGTTGACTATCAGTCATTTATGAGACATTTATTCTGAAAAAAAAAACATTTTCCAAAACTTATTAAAAAATGAGCTTAAACTAAATCTACTTAAAAAATACCTAAATCTTGTGGCTATTAAAAACTTTTAATATTAAAAAATTTAACGTAAGAAATTTGCCTAAACTTTGTTTTAATTTTCCTAAAATCTTCAAAGTTTTTGAACCCTAATTAGAGTAATTTTTTTGAAATTTGAAAATAAATTAAGTCAAATTTTGATGTAAATTTTGAATAAATATGCCTGGTAGCAAATAGATAGTAAACTTATTGTCAAATTTACATCCAAAATTGATTTTACAATTTATTGACAACATTTTTTTTGAATAAATCCCGAAGTATCTCAACTATTGATTAATAACAATCATTTGCTGGCATGATCGAAACACGAACAAATTCAATCGTTAAAATTTGCAACTTTAAAAAATGAATTAAAATGAAATGAATTTATTGAAATTAAAATTGAGGATTAATGAGGAGCCTGAAACTTAAAAAAATTTAAAAAAGGTGAAGTTTTAATTAAAAAGTTTTCACAGTAATTGAATAAATTTTGGATGGAGTTGGAATGAAGCATTGGTTTAAGGT